TTTGTTTTTTGTTTTGAAGGAAGCATTTGCAGTCCTGGGTCTTACTCCTCAGCTAGCTGTAAATTCTTTCAACAGAATACTAGGGCCACTAGCTAGAGTGGAGGTCAAAGGGCTTTGGCTCCATTGCAGTTTTTTTCTGGCAGCGGCAGCCAAGGCGACAAATGGTAGGCCATTTCAGAGTGGCTTTAAAATGTACCTGGACAGTGAAATTAGGAATCACAGATCTGTTCCGATCTTTGGCGCTGTTGTTTATTAGCAGTATACCCATTTGGATTCTTGTTCCTGGACTGTTGGAGAAGTCTTTGATCTCCTTGTTTTCCAGTCTCCAGTTTAATTCAGAAATGCTGTGCCTAGGCCCAGCAGCCCCTACCGGTGATTCTTTATAGAGTGAATTACTTAGAAGAATTATAGAAATGATTTAAAAATACAGGCTGAGTGCAGTGGCTCACACCTGTAATCTCACCACTTTGGGAGGCGGAGGCGGGTGAATCATGAGGTCAGGAGTTTGAGACCGGCCTGGCCAATATGGTGAGACCCTGTCTCTCTTAAAAATACAAACAGCCGAGCATGGTGGCACACTCTACTATACTGCAGCCTGGATGACAGTGTGAGACTCTGTGTCAAATATGTATACATATATATATAAAGTAAATGGTTTGTGCTTTTGGAGATTCTCATGATACAGGTTTCTGGTGAGGCTTGAAAATACATAGTTTTAAAAAATATTTTAAATTTTATTTTAAACATTAAATTTTACCTTTTTTGAGGCGGAGTCTTACTCTGTCACCCAGGCTGGAGGGCAGTGGTGTGATCGTGGCTGACTGCAACCTCCAGCTCCTGGGTTCAAACGATTCTCCTATCTCAGCCTCTCAAGTAACTGGGATTACAGGCACATACCACCATGCCTGGCTAATTTTTGTATTTTTAGTAGAGATGGGGTTTTGCCTTGTTGGCCAGACTAGTTTTGAACTCCTGACCTCAGGTGATTCACTCACCTCGGCCTCTCAAAGTGCTGGGATTACAGGCATGAGCCACTGCGCCTGACTCTAATTTTTGTATTTTTAGTAGGGAAAGGTTTTTGCCATGTTGGTCAGGCTGGTCTCCAACTCTTGATCTCGGGTGATCCACTTGTCCTGGCCACCCAAAGTGCTGGGATTACAGGCATGAGTCACTGCGCCCGGCCTGCTCTTTTAATTTTAGAGCTAAAAAAGAGCTGACACTCATGGATACTTTAGTTGTCCATGGGTCTGATGAACAGACAAGTGATGCTTCTAAGACTTCCAGGTCCTCACATTTTGTTTAATCTTGCAAATAGACTCAACATAGACTGTTAAGTTCCAAAGATTAGGAATTATTGTCTTATTTTTTTTGTTCTTTGAAGCACCTTGGCACCTAGAACATCATTCCACATTTGAGGAATGAGCATAGTAAGACAGACCCCTTAATCCAGTCATCTCTGATGCATATTGATACTTTAATGTGTAGGATACTTTACTCAGTAAAAGGGTTGGAAGCAGAGGTACAAGTGAAAGGTAAAGTCCTAAACATAGAAAAACAGAAGAGGAAAGCATTTTAAAAACTGTATTTTCGGATATACAGTTAAAACCAACCAACCTTGACAGCTTTGCAGGAGATTCTGTTTATGTGCTTAACAGTTGAAAGGTAATGTGATTATTTAAGTAGCTGACCTGCTAATAAATTGTATTTGTTTTTTTTTTTTTTTTTTTTTT